CGATGACGTGTTGCACTGAAGAAAAAACGCTTTTGTTTGAGGGAGCACATCTGTTTAATAGATTACCAGATGACATAAAAAACTGCGATAACATTAAGGCATTCAAAACGAAACTTAAGGAATATGTACAAACATTGTAAATCTCGTTAAAATAAAATGAATGTAACTTCTTACCGCACTAGAGGATTTTGTCATATGTGTCATAGAAGATAAGGAACCTTTGTATCTCATTTTAAGTGAACAATGTATCTGTTCTTATGAGAAATAAATTCTTTAAACCCAAGTTATACTAAGTTACTGTGAGGAAGGAAGGGCGATGGCGTCAAAGGACGTTGTTACAGCAACCGGCGAAGCGGGACTTGAGTTGCTTGAAAGGACATCGGCAGGAAACGACGGCACTTGAGAATTAGGTAGTTTCCAGGGTATCAAAATTTAAAACCGTCAGTTAGATAATGAAAAAATATTAGACACGTATATTTTTATTTTCTCGCATTAAGCAATACTTAGATAAAATGGCGCTAAGTTTAGGAGCGGTAGATCGTTACGTCATAACGTGCTCTAAACGTAACACACTGTGACGTCACACGATATTTCAAATTAATATATCGTCGAAAGTATTTAATTTTGTGAGAAAAGAAAAAATACGTGTCTAATGTTTTAAATTATTGTACCAGACAGACATTAACACGTTGAACGCCATGGGGGTCATCGGTGACCGGCGTTAGCGGAGGATTTACCTTCAACAGTTTTTTATTGGCAGTCAAAGTCTTAAAATAAAATTCAGGAAAGTACCATATTTGTTAAAAGGCTAACGTCTAAACTACAGCTAAGATCATAATTATAAATCCGAAAGTTTCGATAGACGTTTGCAACTCAACCACGTCAAAACGTGTCTCGACGGATCTGGATGCAAATGGACTAGAATAACGCATGAGCTAGTTAGCACCATGGTAACGTAAATGAAGTCGTGGCTAAAGCTGAACAAGAAACTTATGACAAGGCATCAAGACATGACCATAAATCATTTTCTCTTCTCTCCATAGAGAAAATAGAAGTCACTAGTCACACCGCCATAGTTTACAATTGGCGCCGGAACAAAGTAAACATTATCTACTTATACTTACTTATACATTAGCTTGAAAATAACAGTATCGTGACACGGTCACCGGGATGATTGCGATCATTTGCCGTCATTTGCGCATATCGCACCTCCATGTTACTTGGTCCATAAAATTGGGTACAAAAGAAAGACAACTTTGAACGTTGGTCTCAAACAAACTTTATTAATACGGTTTTGTTTTTTAGAACACTTAAAAAAAATGGTCACTACGTTCTCAATTCTAAATAAACAGTTTTTTTTTTTTCTATTTTCGGTCATAACTTCGCGGTTTATTTTTAGCGTACTTATACGATTTAAGATAAAGTTTTTTTTTTAAATTTCATTGAAATTTGTTTCAGTGATTTCATATATTGAATTTTTTTTAAGAAATACTAGCTGACCCGGCGAACTTAGTAACGCCTGTAAATTTGTTTTCTCACCTTTTAAACCATCCCTAGACTTTCAAGAACATTTTACAAGACCAAAATTAACCCAATTGGTTCTCGAGCTTTAGCGAGACTGACGAACGGGAATTCATTTTTATGTATATAGATTTCTCGAAGCACCATTTATTATAATTATTATATATCTTACACGTGATTTAAGTTGTGACCGTGATCTGACATTGAAAGTGTGTGATGATGAGACAGATGACAGATGAGAGGTTTAAATATTTTGTTTCATCTTCCGAAACTATATTTTATAATGTTCTTGCATTTATAAAGACTAATTAAGCTGTTTTTGGATACATTGATCTCCGAAATGATGTCTCGATGTTTTTGTATAACATAATATAATGATTTATAGCCACATGATAAGAGGTCACGATAAATGGAGTAAGAAAGTAACAGTATAGTACTCAAGGGAAGGGAAAAGGAAGAGAGGGAGACCGCAGAAACGATGGAACGATGACATCAAAGAGATGGCAGGTGTGACGTGGCTCAAGTAAGGTCAGAATGGAACACAAATCTGCAAATGATCATCAAACAACAAATAATAGATTAATTTTTTAACTGTAAGTTGCTTTTAAATGTAAGTGTAACGTAATTTAAGTTAAGGATCTGAATAAAAGGCTATATTATGAATGATTTATAGGTCTAGGTTTATCATAGGGTAGCATATGATTTATATGTCGTCTCAAAAGACCGAAACACGAAGTGATAAGAGGAACAAATTGAGACCTAAGTCAGCTAAAAGATCTACGTGGTCTGTCAGGCCGAATAAACACCAAGTCGCAGATAAAAAATAAATCATTCAGTGGATCCATTACGAATTCCCAATCCACAGATTAACTAACAAAAAAATTGTCAAAGGCAATGACAATGTATCAAACAACTAACATAAGTATTGCACCATTATAAATTAACGTTCCGACATTACTGTCCAACTTAGTGACCTGTGACGTCACAGCACAGGAAACATGGCCGACTACTTAGTACTTAGTCGCAATGAAACTCAATCCGTTAATGAGTCAGGAAGTTCATAAAGGCTAGAATTTTGTATTAAAATGATTCATTATTGTTTTCAGCAGCCATTATCTATACAGATAGATAAAATTTGAGTGTTTTTAATATTGAAATAACCGCTTTTTACTATATGCATAATTATGAATATACATACGATAGCTACACTAAATTTTTGTCTATCTGTCTGTAGTGGCTAATCTCTGAAATGGTTAGACAAATTTTGACGGAACTTTTACTGGCAGGTAGATGATGTACTAAGGAGGAATATAGGCTATTTTTATTATTAAAATTGAAACAATAAAAGTTATGTCAATATTTAATATTTAGTATGTCTCACGATAGTTATTATAAAATGTTATGTCCTAAGGGCCAATTATTAACGCTCAGATAAATTTTAACTGAGGAATAACTTTAAATATTTGACAATTCTTCCATACTAACAAAACTGTCAAATGTCAATTTTATTCTACAGTTATATTTAACTGACAATTGAAAAATTGGAATTGAAAAACCCTAAAACTTATATTCTACGCGGATGAAGTCGCGGGTAACAGCTAGTTAAGTTACATATAATATTATTATTTCACAACCGTTAGTTTACAAACGGTAATTAAACCATTAATGTGTGTTTTCAAGTTACATTGTAGTCTTTGTATTGAGTAAACTGAAGTATGGATGTTATAGTTTTCTTTAATGATAGAGCTACCTATAATCTATATTAATATGTACAGTAATAAAGTTGAAAGTTGTTTGAAGGCGCTAATGGCTGGAAATGTCAGTAACATTTGAAACTTGTGATATCTGATAGTTCAGTTTAGTACAGCATAGTTCGATGTTCGTAAAACATCTTTTTAATAAAATATTATAAAGCTGAAGAGTTTGTTTTTTGTGTTTGTTTGAACGCGCTAATCTCCGTAACTACTGGTCCGATTTAAAAAATTATTTCTGTGTTAGATAGCCCATTTGTTGAGGAAGGCTATAGGCTATAAACTAACACGTTTCGATTAATAGGCGCCGAGCAGAGCGAGTGAAACCGCGCGGAAGTAGCTAATAAGAAATAATATAGGTGACGGAAACTTGAATGCAGTGCTCTTTTTCTACTATTTTTTTTCTAGGGGGCGAGGTCAAGTGTTACCGCTAGTATTCTATATATATATATATAAATGGTTTCGGACCCTAAAATAAATATCTTTTCCTTGAGGGGAGAAAATCATCCAATGACTAATTGCGCCCGGGTGCGACGAGAGAGTGTCAGAATCTTACTAACTAAAAACCATCCCTTTCCGCCTCCTGCGTCTAGCCGGAGCCCCGGTATCCCCGTAACCCGTTAGGCTGTCCGCAGCGAATACTTTATATTATTATTTTTTTAAACTTTGTTTTCAGGCCTTAGTGGCCTTATATACCTTCAAAAATAACAGGAAACAATACCGTTAATTCTGACGAATCCCACTCCAAAATTCTGCTTATTGTCTTTAATATTTATCAATGGTAATTACGTATGTAAACAGAATTTAATATTGTTTGTTTTGTACAAAAACTGTCGTCGTCCCAAAGGTTGACAGCCTGTCAGTTAAAATTTATTCCACATGGATATAAGTTTGCTTTGTTTACTAATTAATATATTTTTTCTTGTATTTATTTATGTACGTATATGTGTATTGTTGTTTAACTGTACTTAAAACTGTCAAACACCGCGAGGACACCGGAGACCGCAACCGTTCTTTAATTGTGTCTATAATGACGGTACTCAACGAGTTAATTTGAGTTATAGTGATCAGATATGAAAATATTAATTTTATAGTAAAGCACTTATAATTTTTATATTTACATCTTTGCTCTACTTGGGGATAGTCGTTACTTTTATACGACTATAGTCTCGATATTTCTGTACACATATTTTCAAGATAACATCTTAAAAATAACAGTGTGTAGTAGGACTGTAATCACTGGGATTATCAACCGATCATAATGTTTTTATGATCCCCAACGCTACGGAAGTATCCCGAAGTAATAAAAACTTAAAAAAGTACTGAACGGCTTCCTGAGATCTCATTGTAAATCAGAAAAACAATAGGACTTTGTTCAACAGAGGACCTTTGCTTTCTTTCGGTTGAAAATAATGACAAATAAACAGAATGCAGGACGAATTATTATGTTTTCGGCTTACTCACGTAATTATTTGACGAGGAACTCGACTAGTTTCAAGCCATGCTAGAGGCACATATCCATGAGCAGCATTTCGCGACCAGAGACGCCTCTAGCATGACTTGAAGCTAGTTGAGTTCTTCGTCAAATAATTACATGAGTAAGACGAAAACATAATAATTCATTTAGAGGTAGTATGCCTCATGAAAGTTATAATACAAAGAATGCAGGACGTGTGAAGTAAGGTCGTGTAAGCCAATACGCAAAAAATCTTAAAATCTACTACTTACTTTGTAAAATTGAAGTTATTAGAGGCTAGGATCTCTGCTAACGATCCCCATAGCGTCCTGTGCAGTTCCCGTACAGGGGCTCCCCACCAGCTCGCGTGCCAGTATCTTACTGTTGAGGACACGCAGCAGTTTACACCTAGAACAATAGGAATTTCAATTAGCACTCAAATTTTTAAAGGCAACACACACTGATGGAAATTGGGACACATAAAAACACATAATCCATCATCACACATGTCCTAAGAAGAGGATAGCTAGTAAAATGCTTAGATTATAGCCATCGTTGCTAGTACAACAGAGAAGAATTTTTAAGGGGATAATCATTGAATGATTTCTCCCGCCTGGGTGAGGCGGGCAGACTCTTACTGACTAAAAACCACCCCGTTCCTTCTTCGCCGGAGTCCCGGTAACCTGTTACGTTCTTCGCGGCTCCGTATCAAATGAGAAAAAGTACAGATTAAGTAGCATCCTCTTGTATCATACTCTTATCATACTCTTGGTCAAGACATTTTGGGATCTCTGACTCAATGAAGTCATAGTATACTTTTAAGAGCTGTTGATGTCAGTTAACGAAGTAAGTAATACAATATCGTGGGATCTGCGCTTTCAACAAGCTCCAAATTACCCGTTTCCTAATTAGCAGATCTTCAAGAGTCATTGCTGCCTTTCCAAGTAAGGATAAAACGATTATCTTTTCCGCTAAATACTTCCAATGTTCAAATTCAAATATTAACTACAAGCCACCCGTCCCGGCTTCACAAGGGTGCGATATGCATGTATGATACATAAAAACCTTCTTTTAGAATCACTCTATCTATTAAAAAAACCGCATTAAAATCTAAGTATACAAAGGGACCGACAGACGGCGGATAGCGACTTTGTTTTAAATATATGATAGATTACAGGTAGGTACATAATACAGTTGTTATCATACTTTTGAGTGTACTGCAAGTTAAATATCTGTTTCCATGCATGCATTTTTTTTTAAAGATGGACCTAATACATTTTGGTCATTCTTATCTTCTTGGGTTAAATAAAGGTTGATCAGTTTTCTTTGTTTACAAGAATTTAGCGTAGGAGAACCGAATTGGACTGAGATCATCAACCGATTAATGAAGTCGTACTTCCAAATAAGAGCATAAGGAACTCCTTATAAAAATGAATATTTTGCCAATATAATTGGCAGTATTATCGGATAATTGTTTATCGTAAACTTTATGCAGAATGTAACCTTTTTAATATACAAAATAACAAAAAAGCCGTTTAAAATAGCACTGATATTAACTCACTTTTCCTTAAAACTTTATTAAAATTCAGCGCCAAACAATATATTTTTATCTATTCCAGTTTTTGCAGCCATGCACGGAAATATGCAATAAGTTATAAACACTGATACAAGCAATAAATAACTAAATGTCATAATAATGTTTGACCTTATCGGACAGAAGCTAATCTGCCCGCGCGCACCTGACATTGAGCGTATCTTTCGACACACGTCGCTCCTACGCAACGTACGAACACTGATTTCTTATGTAAATTTAAAAGTAAAGAATTTCTTTCATATTTGAATATATTTTTTGTTATTCTCTCAGTTTATTTACGAAGACATTTTATTGTTTTTTTATGTTAATGTTCATTATTTTTGACGCTAAATATAATATAAGTCTCACGATGCACTTGTATTCAATTTGGACGGGATTATCTACATAAACAGGATGTTGCGTTTGAGTTTGTTAATCTGCTGTAGTCGTGATGGATAATACAACATTTATTTATACATTTACCTAAAGACTATCAGTCAGCGAGCAACATGCATGATATATTTTGACAAATGTAGTACAGACTACAGACTGATATATGACTAAACAGTCTCTAAATGCCACGATTTTGTCGCATGTCGCTCGTTACTCTGCACCCCTCCTACACTAATGGGACACTGATAATAAATATCACCACTCATATTTAATTTATTTAGGAAATCGCCATCATACGTGTCAAACGCTTGCGACAAATCACTGCAAATAATTGTTTTAATTTTACTATTGTTCCCATAAATTCCTTTCAAAATTAACGACTTTCTGCGTCTCTTTTTAAATAAACCTCGAAGTAAATATATTCGCACAATATTAGCCAAAGAAAAAATAAAATAACACATTATGTGACCGTCCGTCTGTCAGTGTTGGCAGCTCTTCAAAACTGCTGAACCGAATAGTAACAAATACGAATCAAACGATAATATTTTGACGACTGTCTTCTCGTTAATTTATTTGTTTAATGCTTTTTTTTAGTTTTTATTAGCTTCACCTGTATTTATAAATGTAATGGAAACACATTGTAAAATCACACCTTTCCCTGGTGGTACCTGGTGGCCTGATCGTGGTGGCATATGTTGGTTAGATATTAAACTGTCAAACACCAAGCGGTCACCGGTGACCGCAACCTATTGTTCTATAATTGTGTCTACAAAACCGGTACTCGACGAGTTAAACGTAGCATGAAGTTATCAAACTACAATATAAATTAAATGCAATAAGACCAAACCTATTGCCAGTCAGTGGCAAGGAAATTGAGCTATCCAAGTGAGGTTTTTCCGACTCGGGAATCTATATCGGGTTTTGCTCATCACTTCATTAGCCATAAGTCACACTTGCGACCACTTGTCATAATGTAACGGAACAAAGGAATTTTTCACCTGCTTGAAGACATGTCATTGACATAAAGACTCATTTGAAATGCAAATATATTGCGCATTGCTAATTTGCCACTAATTAATTAACTATTTATAGTCGGATATTTGCATAATTTGTATTCACTTTTGAAAGTGATTACTATTATTTACTTATTGCAACGGTATTTTCTCCTTTTATTACTGTGTTAAACACTATACATTGACATAATAAACATTTTTCCGTGGGTCCCATAATACCTGACTAGCGGACTACATATTTCTCAGATACCGCACAATTCTTTGACAAACTTGGATACTTTAATTCATTCACTATTCCACCTGCCAAGTGCGGAGATTATAGAAAACCCAAATAAAGATAAAGATCATTTAAAAGATATTAATCTTACAAAGGTGGACCGTCTGAAGTTGTTGCAGTTATAAGAGAAAGGAAACATACTGTTTTCTTCACAGTTTCTGAGTTTAAAGGAAAGCTACTGATATTTTTAAGGTCACATTAACTATAAAGTCTAATTTCGTAATAATAAATTGTTTCGGTTGACTTTCGGTGTTTATTTTTAGCGAGTAAACAGCATTATGTCGCCGAGACGTGGACCGTACAATAATAATGTCGTACATGCGTAGATATACGACAATTGGACACTCGTATAGGTCGACCTAAAATTAGGACGACTTCGTGTCTATAGAGGCCACTAAAGGATTATAGAACACGAAATATAAATACTAGAAGCTTCTATTTCGAGCCTAAGAATTTGGACTGCTTTTTTCTCTTAAAGGAATAAGTATGTAGCAGTATAAATAACACACCCAGTACCCACCCTTAACATATTCCTTACCTATTAAATAGGATTTTTTTTAAGGGGGGAAAATCATCGAATGACTGCTCCCGCCTGGGTGAGGCGGGAGGGAGTGTCAGACTCTTACTGACTAAAAACCACCCCGTTCCTTGTTCTGCACGTCGAGCCAAAGCCCCGGTTACCCGTTAGGTTCTCCGCGACATTAAATAGGGTTACGATTTAACAACAGATGGGACAATAATCCATTATGAAACCTAACTAACACATTAATGTATCGTATTAAAAGCAACTCTTCATCAACAACACTACCATCTAGACATTCTAGACAAACTAGTCCAGTATAACCACAAAACAACACCCAAAATTCAATCCTAACACTTATCCAACAAGGTTGATATTACACTGTAGCACATTTATTTTCACTCTATACATTGCAACTACGGTCAGTGGTACGTCGGCTGAAAGTGCAAGTGAGTTCAACCATCGTGTTGGCCTGGCTTAAATAAGATGTGACTCATTTGTCCAATATTGTGCTTGTTCTTTTTGTAACTGGCCATATTTTCTGAAGGGACTACAGTGTCTGTCTTTTCAATGCTTTGGTCAGATGAGTCAAGCACTAGCTAAGTTGATATTCTTAATATTATTTTGGTTTACATTAATTTAGGATTGTATTTCTGCAGTCATATCTGGGGGTCGAAGTAGTCTAATTATGAGGGGTTTAATTAAATGATTGCTTCTGAACACAGGGCTCTTCATTGAGTGGACATCTTGCATGGTGAGTATACTAAATACATATGTGCGTAGGTATATATTGGAGATGTCACTTAATACAAATAAAAAATAGTTCAACTAAACTAGTAAGTGGAAAAACTATTCATAACTGATGTCTTAGGTCTTATTTTGTTTATTTAATGGGACAAACCCGCCTCAACCTCCCAAAACCGCTGCAACTCCTGTAAGCCAGAATCTACAGTACATACAACCATGAAAATACCGGAACACTGAAGTCCGGCGCATCCCAGGACATAACTGTTTTGGTTTCCGCAACGAAATAAATCAGAAGATAAATCCACGTCCATCGATGAATGCCGGAGACAGAAGTCTAGTTAATACAATAACCACAACAAAATGATTAAGAGCATAGAGGACGAAACGGAAAAATAAAACATTCATAATACATCCTGTACGCAAAGTATGACAAATAACTATAATACGACTTGTTCTAGAGACATCTGCAAGATAATAAGTACGGAGAATTAGTACAAATTAAGAGATAACAGTGTAACAATACCTCGTGTGAGTACACAAGCACCGAACGCACTTAGCACTGGAGTTTGTTTAAATGTAAATATCTCCGGAAATATTGGGCCCAATTGAATAATTGTTTCTGTGTTGGATAGTCCATTTATCTAGCATAGAATATAACATCACGTAATGATCAATAGTACGTAGTGATAGGTAGTTAGGTTACTTTTGGTTTGGTAATAAAATCCCTGGAACTACTCTTGTTGTTTTGAATAGTCCATTAATCTAGGGCGCATACTCTTGAAACTAAAATCAATGTCAATCCAATAAAATCTCAATAATTATTCAATGTCGACACAATACAACCCCAATATTATAATAGCATTCAGAGTAGGTACAGAATATTAA